GAGATCTCCATGCAAGGTGCCCCCAGTATTGCTATTTTAACTGTTTTTCTATTGAGGTGTTTGCTGTGAGGTGGCCTCCAGAATTTGTTGTGGCACTGACATCAATGAGTCAAGCAGCAAATATCCTCAGGAGTGGATTGTGAGCTTTACAGCCAGATATAAACTTCTTTTCTGAAAGCAGCCGGGAGAGCCTGGCTCCCAAACAATGCTCTGCTGCCCAGCCCAGCTGGCGGGGCTCCAGCCCAGGTGAACACACCTTGCTGGGGACAAGGATTTGCCCCTGGGGACGATGGTCTCTGGCAAGAAAAGCTCACTGTCAGCTAGCGTGGGGAGGTCTTTCTGGCTCAGAGAAAACGCAGACCCTGCAAAATCCGGGATTTTATTGTGGTGGTGTTGGCTGTGAACTCCTTTTCTTTTTTTTTTTTTTTTTTCTCCTTTTTTTTTTTTCTTTTGCTAAGCTGAATCAAAATCAGTGTATGGGGTGAGAAGCAGTGGCTGATCGCCAGCTGCAGACTGCTGGCATCGTATGTGCCAGCTTGAAGCAGGAAAAATCTGAATCTCAGTCTGCTGCCAGGCTCTCCTGCTCTGCATGCGAGATTTCTGAAGCGCTCTGCTTGAAATGCAGAGCCTGAGCTGCCATGGGGAGGACAAAATTTAGGCAAAGGACTAAGACAAACTTGGCAGTCGATAACAAGGATGACTGTGACAGTTCGTGGTGTCCTCTGTGCTCAGTCCTGACTTGCTGCTGCAGAAAAGGAGTGCTTTACAAATAGTTCTTTAGTCAACTTGTGCATTTATTATTTAAAAACAAACTCATCTAATTCCTTCCTGTCTTTTCCTTAGCCCTGCTTGGGAAAAAAAATTAAAAAAAAAAAAAAATCAGTGGCTGCTAAACCTTCTACTTGATGTTGTAACAATGTTGAGAGCTGAAATCCAAAATACTGGGTTGTACCCAGAGGTGCCTCTATCTTTTCTGAACACTTAATGAGTCAAACTGCTAACTAATCTATTGAAACAGGAAAATTCAGACACTGCAGTTCCTCTGGAGAGGAGACCTAGATGAAGTGACTCTGCAGCGCTGTATGCATATTCATTGTAGCCTTGGACTCCAAAGCCATACTATGAATAGCACTTTTCATCTGTGGATCCAGCTGACAACTAATTAAATCTAACTAATCCCTGCATGTATGGGGAGTGGGGGAGACTATCTAGGGACTGTTTTTCCCAGCCCTGAAACGCTGTCACCTCCAGGATGTGGTTAACAGCAGCTCGCTCGGTTTGTCTTCCCTTCGGTGACACAAAATGCTTTGGGGGAAAGGTGTCAGATCTGCAAAGGACATTCCTGAGGTTAAATAAGAACTCGGCGCTGTGAGCATGGGGCATGCCTGGCTTTGGTTTAACATCCCTTTTCTCCTCAATTGATGAGATGCTCTTCCCCCTAAATGCCAGTGTAAAAAACCAACAACAAAACAGGGTTGTGATATTGAGACTGCTGTGCTGATGGAGAGTGGAAGTTCCTCCAGGCCTGGATCCTTGCTCTGATGTGGACCAGGAGCAGATGCCAGGGAAAGAGAATAAGAAATGGTGAGTAACCTCTCCACTAACATAGTCTTGCAGCTTCCAGCAATGATGACCAAAGTAAGCACCTAGATTACTGTGTTCAATACCAAGACCTGTCCTGCATGAATTTACCTAATCCCTTTTTTAACCCTTTTAGATTTTGTGGCTTAATATCCAGTGACAAATTGCACAATTTAATTTTATGCTGGTGAAGGGGAAAAAAACCCCTATAGTTTGTCTCAAGCCTGCTGACTCATTTCATGAGCTTGGCCCTGGTCCTTGTTGGGGGAACAATCAGCTTCTCTATAACAGTTGTAATTTTACAGTGGACCTCTGTCCTCTCATGAGAAGTTTTAGTCCATCTAGCTGCCTGTCATCCCCACAGGCAACTTTCTGAGCATGGCTCTGCCATCCTCAGCAGACCTGGATGTCACCGGCTGCTGTGCCCTCGCTCTGCTCTCTTGACTGGGTGCTCTCAGGGCTTGAGAAGGGGAGATAATATATTTTTAGTAGCTTCTCTTCCTTGTTTTTTGTGGCTTAAGTAGAAACATTAATGTCTAATTTAAAGGGTACATTTTACAAGGTTATTTATGGAAGCAATAAGCCTTTTTCCTGCTGTGTTTTTCATGAAAGAAGCTGGCAAGAGCTGAAATCCTTTACCTTGTTATAGTAACAGCAAAACATTCACTCTCAGACTTTGAGCTTCACTTGAAATAGTCGGTTGGTTTTTTTTGTTTGTTTGTTTGTTTTTTTAAGGAAGACATTTAATATCCAATGAACAAAACAGCAGCAGTTTCTCCCTAGTTGAAGGGAAGAAAACCTGTCCCAGAAAGAAAGCAGAGGGGGAATGCCTGGTCTCTGGTGCACCTCCACAGTGAGAGGACACAGTCATGGCATCGGCCAGAGCAGCACGCGAATCCTCTCAGCCCATTATGCTCATAACAAGGTGACATTAACCTTACCTCATTCTGCTTTTAGCTCTGTGCTATTGTTTCTACCGTCGAAAGCAGCCCTGCGCACGCAGCGGGTGCAGGCAAGCGGCTGCCTACAGGTGCCGTTGTTTGGCAAACTCCAAATTAACCACGAGCCAGGAGAAAGGACGGAGCCCGCGGTGACTCTGCAGGCTGGATGGCTCAGGGAATGATGGATGGGAGTCAGACTTCAAGCTCTCAAGACGAACACAGTGCCCTGCTGTGTGCGGGCAGGCTGTGGGAGTCGGCTGCCTGTGCTGTGATGGGGGGAATGGTGGGACGGGCAGGTTTTGGGGAGTTCTCCCCACGTCACGCGTTCACCTTATAAATGAAAGATGCTGCAGCGGTGGGCAAGGACAAGCCCTGGGAGCGCCTGAAAGGGTCTTTTGCCGAGGCTGGCACGGACACACCGGCATCAGCGACGTTGGAGGGGGCTCCAGGAGACATTCTGAGAGCTGCCACCTCAGCCTGCCCGTGCGCACAAGGGGAGCCTGTTTTCCTGCATTTACAGCACGGCGTGATCAGCAGGACGTGGGAGCGAGTACGCTCCGGGAGAGCCTGGATAGAAGGAGCCTTGTTGGTGCAGCCCATCGCTGCTGCTCTCCACGCAGCCGCTGTTTGACTTGGACAGGAGCACGGAGACTGAGATTTGTCCGGTCCCACTAGCTACACCTCTGCTGCTCCTTCATCAGCAGAGAGACAGCGGTAATACTGACCAGAGAAAGACCAGCGTATGTCCGGCTGCAGCGGTGCCTTTACTCTGTGTCACTTGTTCCTTCTTGCTCTGCCCCATCTCTGCATGTGCAGAACCATCTCCCACCTTCCCTCCCTCCACTCAGACTATGCTTTGTACTTGGCTATCGGGAGATGGGCAACGCGCACCCGGAATGCTTGCACAGGAGAACTGATGTCTCTCGTGGAGTCAGGTGCCTGTCCTGTCCAGGTGAGCAATGGTTCCCTCCGTGGGAAGGCCTGTGCTTGTATCCTGATCAACAGAAAGGTGGTGGAACGACTCATGCAAATCAGTGAAAGCCTGATGTAGGGGTCTCTCACGGGGCAGAAAACCTAGAGGGTATCAGATAAAGTCAGCCAAATTCTCAGCCATCCAAGCAGGGAGAAGGTGGCTGCCAGACAGGAGATAACAGCACCTACAGCCCTCAGCACAGTGATTCTGCAAACTGCACCCCGAGAAACGAGCTGCGTGGCATGTGCTCAGCCCTGGTAAAGCTGTGCCTTGGCACCTACCGAACAGCAGGCACAAGAGCTGGGTCTCTCCTGGGATGGTATGAAAATCCCCTCCTGACCTGGCAAAAATGAGCAGTGTTTGCTAGTGACTGTACACCAGCTGAGCCAGGACGGCAGGCAGTCTAAAAACTGGTCCTCTGTTCGCCTGCTGTCCCACAACCACAGGCACTGAGCCGTGTTTTAGGACACTGAGCTCGTTCGGGAGTGCCAAGACTGCGTGGTCCCACGCGCCAGCTCTCCGCTCCTGCGGGGCGGGAGGCACACAGCCCTCCCTTTGATTTCGGACCTTAGCCCTGGCCGCTGCGTGCTGTGCTTCTTGAAACGCTAACCTGAGCTTGTTTGATTTAGCGATATGATGGTGCAGGGGGAACGTAAGCCTGGAAGGGTCTGCTTGTGCTGATGGGGATATTGGCTAACTGGCTTCTCGCTGATGAACTGCTGCTAAAGGTGATCTAATTAAAGACAGCATTTAGTTTACTGCTGCTTTATTAGGCTTCAGACTGAAGTAGAGTCTCCTTAGCTGATACAATTTCCTTCCCTTCCCTCAACCCTATCTTCTCCACATTCTCTTTTGGTAGGTTCCCCCTCTCTTTTGTCTTTCTGAGGTTCGGTCCTTTATACCAGCTAGTATTTTTCATCCCTGCTTTAACTCATGGAAATACAATTGCACATGCATCCAATGGTAGTGATGGATGTAATTAACCATCTCCACATCCCAGTTCCTCTGCCTATTTCTTTGCTGAACGCTATCGCTGTCAGGTCAGCTCTAGCCTGCAGAAAATATCTCTGCTATCTACCAGCCATTTCCATTATTTGAGGCAGGTACCAGTGCCTGGAGGTAGGTTTTAATGGTTGAAGCTAGCAGCATCATACAGGCAAACAGCTTGGCACCAGCGGAGTCCCAGACTCATCAGTGCCAGCTCGTGCTATAATTATAGCCTGTGCTTCTCCATCCGACCTCTGTGATGGCTGCTACAGCGAGGAAGGGCTCAAGCTGCTCTGAGCCCACTTTTTAGCAAGGGTCGGCCATGGTGTTGGATGGAGTCCGGTCTGGGGAGAGGTGGAAAGCCCTTAGGGAAGAGGATGAGAACAAGCCATAGGGCTTGCTTTGGGGAATGGCACATCTTGAAGCCTTCGTGGGAAAGTTACAGCATAAAGAAGGAGGTGCTTTGTCCATCTTACTGCTAATTAAACCACTCGTCCTACAGCCTGTGTATGCCCGGAGCTTGCTGGAGTCACCTACACACAGCAAGCAGAAAGGTCCCTGTCCCCAGCCTGCTGGAAAGCAGACCTGCCACCTCCCCGGCTCTCTGGCTGGAGAGGAGCAGTGAGAAACCAGCAAAGCCAGGATCAGATTGCAGCAGGCTCCTCCTCCAGTGACTACAGAGAGGGAAGGAAAGGCGGAGAGCTGGAAACCAGCAACTCCAGGCTGCCTACCTGCACCTTGCCAGCCGGGCTGGGGACCGCGCTGGGGGCGAGCATCTTCTCCACCCGCATCCCATGGGATGTGCGGGGTCCCTGGGTGCTCCCTGCTATCCTGGGTGCATCTTCCCATCGCTGCCTGCTTCCAGCCCGGCATGGAGAGCCTGAGCACCAGCCTGAAGAAGAAAGCTACAGAGCAGCACTACAGGGCGGAGGTGATGATTGCTGGAGAGCAGCTGAGGTAGGAGGTGATGGGGCTCTTCTCCAGGCTGTATCCTGCTAGCAGGACGCTCAAAGCTTTATCCTTGAGCAAGCTCTTTCCCCCCAGATGCTAGTGCCTCCCCAGTATCTGCTGATCCTTCCTTCACCCACCAAACCAGTGGTGAACCAGGTCCTCTCCTATATTTCCTTGCCCTGCTGCTCCTCCCTGGGCATCTCCTGCCCTCCACCTCCAGATGCCAGGGGACTGGCAGGTGGGTTTAGATGGCAACAGGTATTTTTGCTCCCTTTGCATCTTCCCCCAAAGGCAGAGCCCGATGTGGTGATGCTGAGCAGCCTCCTCGAGGTGTCCCTGGCTGGATGGGGACAGCACCGCGGGCGTTCCAGGGGTGTTTGGACTTTTGGGGTAATTTGGGAGGTCGTCCCACAGGTGCCATCCACCTGAATTGTTTTGCACAGCAACAAGTAGGCTCTTTCCTCTCTCAAAAGTCACTTTTGGGAACTTCTGCTGGTTTGTAGTCCCAGTTTCTGAGCCGCTTCCGAGTTGTTTTTTTTCCCCCTTATGAAGACAGAAATATATTCTCCTATGCAAGAAAACCTGTGTGGCTGAGAAAATGTGTTCCTTGTGTATCTGGGCTCAACATCACACACCCCACCCCCTCCCCCTGTTGCTTCTAAGCATGCAACTGTAGGCTTTTCTAGCTCTTGAGGAGAGTTTGCTTGTTTGTATCTGGAGCCATTCTGTTTTGTTTTGAAATGTGGGTAGAAAAGAGGAAAAGTATCCTTGAATAATGTAAAGAGCCTAGAGCCCAAGTTTGCTAGCACCAGGTTCCTAAAATTAGCTCTGTGTTGCTATGTTGTCCATTCTCAGTGAGTCATGTTAACCTTAGCTTTATTCTACTGTATGAAAGATTTATAATTTCCAACTAAGGATTAGGGCCCCATCTTGAAAATGCAGCCAATGTCCAAAGTGGCTGGATTTTAAATATATAGTGATGGTTAGCCACACTTCCAGTCTATTGTCTTTCACAAGTATTACTGTCCTAGCTCCAGAAATTAAAACTTTTCCTTAGGTAGTGGCTGGGAGAGCTGCTGTTGGGGGTGGAAGCTGCATCAACCTTTCTGCCTTTGCAGGATTTGCAGTCCACATTGTAAGGGAGGCTTTGAAGATGAGCTTAACTTTCTTATAGGGAAAAGCATCAGCTGATCTCAGTGATTTGCCTCATTTGAATAACTCAGTGCAAGAGATGTAAAGTTATGACTTATTCCATCCCGTGGGCAGGGCAGGCTTGTTCATATTTATATTTACTCATCTGGAGTGACTGAGGTTTAAGATGGGTCTTAGAGCCTGGGCCAAAGGACGGGGTCAGGTGTCGAGAGAGAAAATGAAATAATCAAGCCATATGTTAAAACTGATCACTGCATGCGTAAGGGGAATGATGTGGCTTCCTCGTGCTTTTTGTAGGACAGGAGCATATCAGATCCTGGACCATTTGGCGATTGTGACTGTTAGCTGGAGAAGGGGATAAAATAAATCTGTGAACAGAGCTCTTCTACTATATTGCACACTACGCTAGTTCTTATAAGCAAGGTAAAGGCATAGTACAAATATTACACTCTTCTGAAAACCAGTAATACCAACTCATTTTTTCATCCCAGTATTTGTCTGGAAACTTCACTCCTTATTGTCAGCGTGAATGTGCCCTGAGACTTTAAAAAGAATGCTAAAAGCCTGAAGGGAGGCAAGCTTTGTGCAGGGAGGGAATAGCTTTCCATTAGTGTGACTGGGGTAAAGTTGAATAGAAAACCCAAAATATATGTACTTTCTGTGGTGCTCATCTGTGGGGGTTTTTTTGTGGTTTTTCTTTTTTGTTTTGTTTTGGGTTTTTTTGTTTGTTTTTTTGTTGTTGTTGTTTGGTTGGTTTGGTTTTTCCCCTATAGCTAGAGTTCCTCGGAGTTTCCTGGCTAGGGAGCTCCCAAAATCTGAGGTTTTTCAAGCCAAGCCCATCACAGCAGGTTATAATCTTGAACTGCTTGCTCCTGTTCAGTTTGCTACCCCGGGGAGAACCTGATGCAGGTTATCATCTCTGCTGGAAGGGGTGATAGGCAGGGTAGGAAGCTCATACAAGTGGAGAGGAGCGGTGAGAGCCCTCGCTTCAGATGCTGTCCCGTGCTAAAACCACGCTGCTGGGAGACACGTGCTGTTTTGCAAACACGGCAGTGCAGGGAGCAGAGCCGATCTGCCTTTGGGCGGCTTCGGCTGCTTCACGCCCCTGACCTGCTCTTGAAAGGCTCGAATTCTTCACTGCACGGAGAAGAGCGGATGGATTTCATCCGGCGTGACTGCTCTCTTCTTCAGCTGTGTTTTGTGGGCAATGGGTCTAAAGGCCAAGGGAGGACCCCAGTGTACCCAGTGCTCACAGTGATGGGGAGGTGGGTCCTTTTGCTGGTGGCTTGGCACATCCTTCTGCTTTGGTCGGGGCAGGAGCCTGTTCCCAGTGCAGAAAGACTGGAAGGAGCTGCTGGCCAGCATGGGGGGTAAAACTGGAGGAGGAGGGTGAAGAGATGGACACCACTAACCTGTCACCGGGCTCCTCCTTCCCCTGCAGTTCGTCTGGCTGAAAGGAGAATCGAGTGATGCAGAGCAGAGCATGCTGCATGCTCAAGTCTGTCTCTTGTATTTTGGGGATCTTGCAGCCTGGCAGGTAAGGAGTTAGTGATATGAATCCTCCCAGAACCTGGGTGCCCAATAGGTAGCAATGGGGAAACTGAGGCAGAGAAGCTGGATGATGCCTCTGGCAACAGCAGATGGGGCAGGGCTAAATGTCCACATTGTGCTCCCCTGCTCTCCCCCAGGAAAGGAATAAAGCAGCACGTAAAGGAGCCTCATCATCTGCCCTGACTCTGTAAGCCTTGATCAGTAAATAACACTCTTGTGTCTACGTAAAATCTCAAACATTTGTTTTTCCCTGTTCTCCGCTTCCTGCCCTGCCTCCCCGCTATTGTATTTAATCAAACAAACCTTTGCTCCATCTTTACAGTTCTTTGGCTTCACAGCAAGTTTGCAAATCCCTCTGAGTTTGGTTTGGCTGGAGGGATTGGTCTGTTCAGCGTCAGGATGTGTTTCCCAGCCAGAAATAGCTGCACAAGCGAGGGGTGAAGGAACGTTTTGTGGGGATGGCTGGGAACGAAATACATCCTAAAGGAATCCAGGGGCGAGTGGACACTGTGCTTTGGGCTGTCTGTCTGCCAGCGTCCCTTTACTTCCACGGGGATGCTGCTTTCTAGTCTGTGGAGAGGGAAGTGAAGTTTTGGGTCTTGAGTGTCTCCCCATCAAAAAGATGAAGATAATAATTTCCACTGATATTTTGGTCTTGGGTTTGAGAGGGCTGCTGTCTCAGGCTTGTTCCTCACATCTCCTGCTGTCGGTCTTATTGTTTCAGACATATAAACTTGCATGAAAATCACACTAGTTTTACTGGGCATTGTGTGTTCCTGGGTGGCATTCTGTAAAAGAGGCCCAATTAGTCATTTCTAATTGCAACAAATGGCTTATCTGCACAGAGATATTCTGGAACAGCTACCCTGCTTTGAATTCACACCCTGCTGTAATCTGACTTTCTCAAGTACAGACAAGTCCTTGTGCACTCTCTTCTGGGTATTCCTCATGGTCAAGTGAACCAGCTGGTCTCTAATAACTCCGTTAAGCTGAATTAATCACTCTTAAACATAAAATATACTTTGTAAACTTTATGTCTTGGGCAGAAAAAGTGAGAGGAGAGTTTTCTCCTATGAAGAACAAAATTGTGATTTCAGCCACCAACCAAAATTTTCAATGGTGCTGAGTGTTTTATTTGGATACTCAAATTGAGACACTGTTAAATAAAGTGCTCGTATCTTAATGCTCTGGAAATTGTGCTCACTTAAAGGTGTGTAGCTGAGCATGCCAAAGTTTGTATTCCTGGCCAAAAATCTTGGGTCCACAGGAGGTTTGGTGGTTCTTTGCTGAACTTTGATCTCTTGAAATGGGGATGTCTTCCTGGAGGAGCTGTGGGACACTGCTTGATGTGGCAGTCACTGGATGAATGTTATTCTGAAGACGAGACTACATAATCAGAATGACTTTAAAAGCCTGTTATTAAATTTTCAGCACTGATGAAAGTGAGGACTGGGAAGTAGGTTTTTGCTTGCCAGGATTTCTTTTTGAGATTTAAGTCTTGTTTTCCTATACATACATTTAAATACAAGTAGGAAAATAAAATATCTCTGAACCACTTTGGGCTGCCACAGGTGTGCAAAGCCCTCTCCTCTCCCCTAGGATGTACTGGTGCTTTTGCAGACTGGGAGTGCAGCAAACTGGGTTTTGCCGAGTGGTTGTTTCCCCTGAATGTGCCTCTCCAGCAGCTATTTTGCAGATACGCTGGTGTGGCTGTTGCTGCCTTTTACTGAGCACTTAGTTGTTTGTTTGTTTGTGTGCATGTGGTTTGGGTTTTTTTTGTTTGTCTTCTGTAAAGATAGGAACAGAAAAGAGCCTTTGGGTGACAAATCTTTCCAAGGCCGTTCATTTGTACTTAACTGCTGTGGGAATGCGAACCAGAGTTAATATCCTTGAAAGATCCACCTTGGCATTTGAGCTGCTCAAGGTCTGTTTACATGGGTAGGAGGTGATGGAGAGTGCTCCGGGGAGACATTCCCACTCCATGCAGGCACCTGTGAGTTCTTGGTGCAGAATATCCATCGCTTTAGGGATTGCTCTGGCTGTGCAACCACGACACAGTAAAAGTAGCAACTTTTCGAATACGAGAAAGCCCTTTGCTTCGGCAAATGCCCTTGATTCAGACTCTGTTTTGAAACTGCGTGAAATGTGGACACACAGAAGTAATCGAGAGAGGAGCTCCTTGGGTTGCTCCCCAGCAGTGGGCATCCGTAACGCTGCTGGGAAAATGCTGGCCTGCCGGAGGAGCAGGGAAGTTGTGTTTGTAACAGCTGAAGTGACTTAAAACTCTTGATTCCCTAGAGGTTTGTTTTTTTGTTTTTTTTTTTCTTTTTTTTTTTTTTTCTATTTACACTGCTGCAGATCTCCCTCTCAACAAGGTTACACAGGATGAATAATGATGTCTTCGTAGTGACCTTGAGAAAGAACTGATTTGGTTACCCAACGCAGCCTACCCAAAGCAAATGCATGTGAAAGCAGCACACCGACTGCCAAGGGAGGAGTGTTTCGTAAGAGTTGATTCTCATGTTCCAGCAAGCATTTTATCCTTGCATTATTCTGCCTTTTTTTTTATTTTTCTTTTCTTTTGGAGAAGTCGTATGTGTGTGGGGTAGGTTTTGGCATCTAGAAAACTCATAATATTGCATTATAAATCCTTCCTTAAATTTTTTAATCTGGAAGCATGATTATAAACCACTCGGTTTCACTAGCTTTGTGTACACGGACTGGTTTATAGAGGGTGTCAGCTGAGCCGTCGGGAGGTGCAGTTGGTGTTACGTCCTTCTGTGACTGAAGTACCAAATTTGTCTCTTCATAGTTGATGGGAAATGGTAAACAAGAGGAAAGTGAAAAGACCACAAGGACACTTGAGCTGTGCATGTTCCACTGCCCTGCGTCTGCAGGCAAGAGGGCAAACTTGTCACAAATTTAAAAGAGCCCACCAAGGTCCAAGATGCTGCTGCTCCAGAGGTGCTTAAATACCACTTAATTCCTGTCCTGGCAATTGTTCCCAACAGAATAGGTTCAGAATAAGTGTGGGTTTTTGTTTTTGTTTAGATTTGTTTTGTTTTTTTTAAATCCTAGGTTTTGGTAGTATTGTTTGCTGAAAATCTTTTTTGTTTTGGTTTGGTTTTTTTTTTCCCTACAAGATCTGTGCATTTTCTGCAGTATTCTGAAACATGATAAAAAAAGACCTATAGGGGAAATAGTATTCTCCCAACCAGTTTCTATGGAGGCCTTGTGTGATTATGGTCTATATGTTATTGTGGGTAAATATATGTGTGTGTGTATATGTGTGTGTGTGTGTATATATATATATATATATAGTCTTTATAGACTCCTGCAGACTCTTGATAGCAATAAAGTACTCTTGTATTTCTTATCTCTGCCAAACATGCCTCTAAAGTGGCATCCCACTTGCTGATTAGGAAGGAAAGCAAGCATATAAAAAAATGACTGCTTGTCTTCTCCCATAGCAGAGGGATGTCAGGGCGGGGAGCCTCTCTGTTTGCAGTTGCTGCCGACTGTGTCTAATTGCATTTTGACAGTGGACCGTGAAATAAAGGAAGGAAAAAAGCTAAAAACTGTAAAAATAGCAGGCAGGTGTCTGTGGACTGTTCTGTTCAGGTAAAATGCAGAATGACTGCTGGTCGCTCGTGGGAATGAGCCTTCCAGGTAAAGAGAGTAAAATACTGAATATAGACTTCAGTATTTGAGGGAGGCCTGCCAAGGGCAAGGCCAGGAGCTGGTTCTGCATGAATCTTTGGCTTAGCATTTTAATTACCGGGAAGGTCTGAAAATGTCTGTTAAGAATTATGTTGGCTTGTAGTTTCACCAGCATTAATTACAACAATCAATTACTAATTCTTCATCCAACAAAAGGTTTTATCTTAAGACTTTTGAGACCCTAGTATTTGTAAATCCTACAATATAGGATAATCCATTATTATCTGATAGATTTTTAGGATATTTAAAACTTCTCATATGGTGCCTGAAACTGTTGTCCAACACGCTTTGTTGTACGCATAACTTCTTCAAAACGAAAAAAAGAACTCGAGGCATGAAATAAAGAAAGGCTGCAGTGATTAATGCCTTTGTAAAATATACTGGCTCGGGGCAAAACTGTGAATTGAAATGAATAATTTGAAACCAGAAATGTCCTAGAGTTACAGAGGAGATATTTAATTAATATCTCCCCTTGGAGTCTGCTGCATGCACTGGGCATTTTCCAGGGTTAGTATTTTGGGAACAGTCATGACTACAGGGCAAAAGTTTGGCTCCTGGACAGATCTCCTGCCAAGTTGGGTTGGCTTTGGCTTGAACACATAAGATCTCTGTGCCTTGTGGCTTGCTCAGTTGTTAAGGTCCTTTTAAAAGTCAAAGCCATAGTCACCTGAGTAACCTTCACCCATACATATCTTTCTGCCAGAGTCACAGACTAGCCATAACGTCAGAGTTTTCAGGATAGGACAGTTGTTGTCTTGCTGTCTTGCTAAACTCTGTCTCAGTCCATCCCAGTTTGGACCAGAAAATGTCAGGACTGTTGCCCACTGTTGGTGTGGATTAGTGGGTACATGGATTAGTAGGTAGTGCATGGGATCTGCCTGGCACTTGTCTCTCAGACACATGCAGAAGAAATGAGCGCTCCCATTACTGCTCCCACCCTGAGCTATGACTAAGATTTTGTCCTGGGGGCAGCTACATTCCTGCTTTCATGGTTATGGGGAAGAAGAACTAGACACAGAATTGTGCCAAGACGACAAACATATGTACTACTATTTTTTTTTACGTTTTTGACCCTTTTTCACAAGCTTCAGTTAGTTGCTGTGTATTTTTTAGAGGTTTGTATAGAACAAAAAGACACGTATAGTTCAGACTAAGTCTGGTGCAGGCAATTTTATAACCTGCGTAGTGATAGGAGGAGAGAAGGGGATGAAGGAGAGGCTGCTTAGGATTGATGAATGCAGTCTTGCAAAGCCAAGAGGTTTGGCTGAATTTGTAAGTCACTGGGTGCTTGCCAGAAGTCCCAAATCGTCAGTGGTTTCTCCAGGCTGGACAGACGCTGGGCTGTTAGACCTGAATTCCCCTGTAACACCAGCTATGCTCAATGAGTGTCTTTCTCTCTAGGCTTCGCCTCCACGATGGGAAGCTCATTAAAGACAGACGTTACCACCTCCGAACGTACCCAAACTGCTTCGTAGCGAAGGAGCTCACAGACTGGCTGATCGACCACAAAGAAGCACCGGACCGAGAGACGGGCATCCGCCTCATGCAGAAGCTAATGGACCATTACATTATCCATCATGGTGTGTGGGTTTCCCTGCTTCCCGCTGAGTCTCCCTGGGGATGTGGCTGTGTGTCTGGTCACCACGTGTGTCCATCAACCCAGGAAAACAGAAGCGTGGTCGGGTCCCTGTTCATGACCCTCCTATGGGTGAGGGCTGCTGGAGTAGCTGGGAGATGAAGGGCAGGCATGAGGTTGTACGGGGTTGTATCTGTGTGAAGCTGTAGCACTTTGGGGGATGTGCCAGTTCCCTGCCCCCAGAAAAGGAACTTGGGCTGTGTGCCGGTAGAACAGCATCTGAAGTATCTCTTATCTGAAAGCAAGTTCAATAACACCTGACCTGTATTGCCCTACAGCAACTGCATCGGCAGCCAGTACTGGGTATTTTTACAGGAGCTGGTCTAGCTCATGTTTGTGTCATGCAGAAGTGGAAGTTGGATTATAATGCATCCTTTACATCTGCAGGAAAAGTCATTTTTTTTACCGTAAGAGCCCAGTGTTCCTCGGTTTCCCCATCCATGCCAGGTTGGGACAAGTAGGGTTGTGGAGTCCACATCACCCAAAGCAACAAGTAATCTGGTACCTGTAAACCTGGGGTTGAAGCAATCCTGTAGGAATGCCTCCCTTGGGATTTAAGTGTGTGATGCCATTTCAAAGGCTTGTCCGTAGAACCTGTTAAAAGAGAGAAAGAAACCCAACAAACAAATGAAGTGGGGGGGGAAGCAGCTTGGTGTTCAAGCCCAGCTCTTAGTTTTCAGGCTTCTTCCTTTTTAAAAATTATTTTGAACTTTCAGCAGTTTTGGATTAACTCAGGACACGTAGCGTGGTCTGTGCCTGTCCCTGAGCTGCAGAGCGATCCCCAAGGTCCAGCCCTTGGTCCTGATATAACAACGGGAAACAAATGCTTCGGGCTGGCAAAGAGCTGGTTTTCCCCATGTGATTTTTCAGGCCCAATCAGGAGCAAAAGTCCTGGATTATCAAACAGGCTTGGGACACCAGTGCCTTCGGTGGGAAGGGTTGTGGCTGAGCTGCCGACCCTTGGCTGAGCTCTCTTGCTCCCAAGTCTTTGGGACACGAGCGGTGACCTGGAGTTGGGTAGATTGTCACGAGAGGCTGAAGCTGAGGAGACAGAAGCAGATGACAACCATACCAAATCCAGCCCTCTCTTCCCCGCTCTTCCCTAGGGTCCAGAAATAGCTGCCTTTGCCACTGTGATGCAAACACTCTCCGTTGCCATCTGCTACTTGCTGAGGTTAATGCCCTTTACATTAAGCTGCCTTGAATGAAAACAAACTGCTGCTGTGCTTTATCACAAAAGCATAAAGCTGAAGCAGTGAGCTCTCAGTTAACCATTAACACTTAAACCTGATTATTTTTCCATCTCTCCAGCTGACAGTTTCAAATAAATCCATTAGTTAATTAAACCTGTGCAGCGCTGGGTACCAGTGCTGTTTTGATTGCTTATCGCGGACATGTTCCTCCTGCTTCTGTGTAATTCCTGGCAGGACACAGAAGTTGACTTTCCAGCTTGCCTTATGACCATTAATTTTTCCTAGCCCTATGGAAATGGGGCTGCCTGCTAACCGCAGCACTGTGCTAAGTGCTTTGCAATTGGCTAAACTGTTTGCCCTCTTCTCTGCTGGGATCCAGAAGAAAATAATTATCTCATGAAGATCATTGTCTGTGCTGCCTCTTAATGGTCTGTTGTGGTTTGAGCTGTTATTCTATTACATGCTGGAAACACATTGAAATTGGTCTTCAAATAGCAAAAATGCTTTGCTTTTCTATGGGCACAGCCTTGTAATGTTTTATGTTTAATTCCCGATTGCAATGACACCTGAATTGTTGCTCCTTGGAGTTAAGAAGGTGCAAACTTTCACCTTTTAAAACAACCTTCTTGTCATGCCTTCTTGCTTGATGAGTCATGGGCTTCAGCGTCCTGATTTCACACGGAGAGAACTGCTCGGGAGGAATGATGAACTCCAGATAACCTGACAGTTTTTAGCATTTTGCTGCTCACCAAAAGGGGAATGAAGTTTTGCCAGTCTGCTCAGAAGAATAATTAAGTGTTAAAATTTTCCCAAAAAATAACTTATGTCTTTTGAATTTCCCTCTGGTGGATTATGTTACTTTAGCGAGGAAAATTTTGGGGTTGGGTTTTTTTTTCCCTTTGACTAATTTTCTTTGTTTTCTGGGTGTATTCTTTACTCCATGGGTTTTTTTTTACCGCTGAAGTTCTTGCTTCAGACAGGTGGACCTGAAGAAAGGCAGGCTGACTGATTTAAGAGCTGGGCTGTGACTTTGGGGCTGTTTGTTTGTTTTGACTTGTAGTCTAGGAATCTGTTGCAGGCAAGTTTATCTCAAAGCTGTATCCCAAATATTTACCTGCTAAATGTTGCATGCACTTAACAGCCATGCATTTACAGATTGTGTGCTCAACCCCAAGACGAAACTAAGGCTTTTCATACAGATTTGATTATTCCAGTTGTATGCACCTAGCTTTGAAGAAAAATTTCTCTCTTGAGGTCAGTTTGCCATGCAAATGAATTGGGTGGGGTTGGCACAAAATGGTGTGGAAAAGTTGGTGTCACTGTACATTCTAGCTTACAAGTATTTTTGACAGGGACAGAGGTGGTTTGGGGGGTTTTGGATGAAGTGAGGGGCTTTTTCCTCTGTCCTCCAGGTCTACTTACGTGTGGCAGTAGCTTTCTAAAAAAAGCTGATTGAGACATTTCCATCTGATCTCTTTTAGTCTAAACCAAAAAATCAACATTTAAATTAAATAAAAAAAAAAATCCCTCTTTGTTCTAACGAATGTTTCAGTGTCCGGACCAAAATGTAGGCTCAAACTTAAGCTTTCCCAAGGTCTGTTCAGTGGGACTGACCTCTCCCAGCGGCATGGGCTGCAGGCATTCGTAAGCCCCTAATTTGGGGACCGAAGGCTCAGATGGGCGTAGAGAAGGACATCGCGTGCAGCCCCCATAGCTTTTAACCTGGAGATAACACCTTCCCGAGTCTGTGCTCTGTGCAGCTCTGTCCCTTACGGACTGACAGACGCCTGCAGCACTGACATCCCTGCTCTGAACTCCTTTCAGTCTGCGACGAGCACTCGGACTACAAGGATGCCAAGCTGCTGTATCGCTTCCGCAAGGATGACGGGACCTTCCCCCTCAGTAAGGACGTGAAGGTGTTCATGAGAGGGCAGAGTCTTTATGAGAAGTATGTGAGTCCTTCCCCTGCAAAACAAATCTCGGCAAGGGGCGTTGGGACTGTGCTCCGCTGGCTGCGCTTGCTGATGATGCTCTACAGCTGGGAGCCACAGCTACAGCTGGCTTTTCTCTTCTTTTTGCCGTGCCCCGTGCTCTAGGATTGGGAAATGCTGTTTCCTGAGCCCTCTCACAGCCGCAGGACAACCAGCCTTTTGGGGCTGGGTCAGGAGCTATGCTCTGAACTCACGGATGCTTTCAAGGGCTCCAACCCAAGTGCAGGTTCTGGGATTTGGTACGGGGAAGCGCTAGGGTCCAGTCTGCAGTTTGAGTGTTCCCAGGATGGTCATGTCCAGTGGCCGTTCCCAGTGCTCCCCCAGCCTCCCTGGGTGAGCTGCTTCCACCAGCACTATTAGGACTTATGTCCCACCAGAATCAGCAGGGTATGGGATCTTCGGGGTCCTCATGTGCCCGGATCCCTGCACCTAGCTTAGCCTATTTGCAAAATCTATAACGGAAAAATTCTCAGACAGTAAAAAAACCTCCCTCTCCAAATATTTAGTTTTCTTGGTGTTGATTCTTTCTGGTTCTAAGCCAAGCCATCTTCCCAGGCACGTCGTGAGTCATTTTGTTAGACCGGGTTCAACCACAGACCGCCCTCTGGACCTGTTTTCCTTTAACAGCGTCTTCACATCTTCTCTGTCCTCAAATCCTGGCAATCAGATTCACAAACTGGCACTGAGGGAGAACTCCTTCGGCCAGGCGGGCGGTGGTTTCGGCTGTCTGTGACCCTCTGGCAGACGTGCATGCCTTGCACTTTGCTTTTGCTCAGCTGTGGTGGGAGCATCCAGCACATCTCACGGCTGAGCCCGCTGCACCCTCTCGTGGAGACACTGGATTTAGCTCTCGCATACGCTGCAAACTGTATGTTTACTGAAACGCACCTTCCCCATCAATTTGGTCTATTTGCCATTTGTTGCGTGCGTTCGCTTGCTTGGCTTTCCCCTGCAGTCTTTAGTTGAGGTCAGGGCTAAACTGGTTTTGCTGAAGCTGCTTCCTCCACTGTGATGAAGATTTACAAAGCTGCCTGACTGCGGCTCTGCATTTCTTCCTCCCTTCCCATTGCTCCCAGGCAGCAATATTTTGGCTGTAATACTTTGGCCGCTTCTCTTGGCCTTGCTTTGGCTGGCTGCACAACATCACGGGAGCCTTGTCCCACCTCTGTGCCAGGCTGGTGAGCGTGGAAGGGTCAATTCTGAAGGTGAGAGAGGAGAACTCGGTGAAGTACCAGAGGACTTTCCTGGGCTGCGAGATGATCGACTGGCTCGTTCAGGAGGGAGAAGTGGAGAACCGAAAGGAAGCGGTGGAGCTGGGACGGGCGCTGCTGGAACATGGGATCATTCAGCATGGTGAGCGAGGGTCCGGCTGGAGCTGGGATGGAAAGTGAGAGATGAGCGTGGTTGTCAGAGCTGTGCTAGGAACAAATCCCCATTCACGTCGTGTAACAAGTGCTGGTCAAGTGCCCACTTGGAGATGGTAATGGGGCCTTTTAGTTCTATGTTTGGAGCTGGTGACCTTTGAAACTGGAGCAATCTTCCACCACCCACAAAAGCTTTGAGCTGAAATCTGAGCTCTTGCTCTTCAGTTCTTCAAAGCCTCCGGCCACAGGACTGGGATCCGCCCCCCTGGGTTTGGAGGGCTGGGTTGGGAGGGTGTAATGTTCAGCTCTGCTTGGCTGGAGATCATAATCACCGGCAGGAATTAAAGTTTCAATTCAGAAGGCAGGGAGTCCTCTGAGTGTCCTGGGACAGGGGCAGGTAGAGGCCTGTGACTCCGTGGTGCACCCCTGGGAGATGGCATCTCTTGGGGAGGTGGCCCTGCTGTTCCTCCTTCCCTGCAGGTAGCTTTCTCGAACAGTCAGAAAAACTGCAGTAGAACACACAGGTATTAAAAGCAATTAATCTGCATCCCTCAGTATATTTCCTATATATATTTCGCACCCCCCTCAGCCTCTCCCTCCTCCCCTGTTCTCTCCTAGTCTCCAATAGGCATCACTTCTTTGACAGTGACATCCTCTACCAATTCTGGATCAACTTTCGACGGAGGCGGCGTCTTACAGAGTTACTCAACGAGAACTCTTCTCGTACCCTCTCCGAGAGCCCAGACAGCCCCTTCTGTCTTCGCAAGCTCAACCCGGACCCAGGCAACACCAGCTTTCTCTCTGGTAACTGTGGATGTGTTTGTGGAGGGGTGTGAAAGCAAGGATTACATTACCAGAGTATCCCAGAGCCGAGGGTGTTGCTCCAGGCAACCCATGAAGCGACCGCCCATCCCACTGGTTTGTGGTGGATGTCATGATGCAGTGGCAGTCTCTATCACAGCTCCCCATCCCAGGAAAATAACTCAACTTACCATCAACTCAGCTCTTGATCTTTCTTTGAAGCTGGTTTTATTCTTTCTAAGCTCAAATGCCACCTTCAGTGCGTGCTTAACTTTCAGGTGTGGGTCAGGCTGGTGGGGGGCAAGTTTGTTATTTTAAAACTAGCCTGCTCTTTCCCTGAGTAGTTGTTGTTTTTTCTGCCTCTTTCAGTCCAGACCAACAAGGAGATCAAAATTGTCTCAGCGGTTCGAAGGAGCAGCATCACCTCCCTCGCTGGAAACTCCAACCCCTACTTCAGCACTACTCCTACGTTGGTATTCCCTCCTGTGGCTGAGTGCAACCCCAAATCAGGTCTGGGCTTCTACATTGCCCTGTTGTTGCACAGAATACACCTATTCCTCCAGGGCATGGGCTAGCCCAAGCCTCGGGTCCAAACCCATCCACTGTCAGTTTGGTGACTTGCGGGAGGAGAGGGTCAGCCTCACCTCTGAGTCTTGATTTGAAAAATTGTGCAAGCATTTTGAAAAAACACTGAGATGAATGCAAAGATTTCTGCGTGCAGTAACTGTGGCTGGTCCTAACATCTGTTCTGCAGCCCATGGTAATCCCCAGGCTGCCTCGTTATGCATTTTACTGTATGAAACCCTTGATTTTGATAGGATCTGTCACCTTCTGCTCTAGTGTTAAAGAGACCCGTCACCAATGAAGAGCTCCTGTCCCCTGGGGCTCCCTACGTCAAGAAAACGCTAACTGTAAGTGACCGTAGCAAATGGTATTGCTAACTCAACAGTATTGAGCTCTGACTGCTCTTTGATAGCTTTCTGTCTGCTGCTCTGACCTCTGTATGTTGAAACTTTGATTGCATGTCACATCATCACGGCTTGCTCTTGGTGAATCTCAGTGGGTCAATGTCTGCAGGTATTCTTGTGGGTGAAAATGTGTGCAGCCTCTGCTTTAGTTTAGTGTATATCGAAGGGGTAGATCAGGAAAGAGAATGTTTCCTGGACAGAAACACTCCCATTTACATTTCATCCAGCTCCATAGAAACTATAAAACCAGTCAAGTCTTGTGACAGTTGAGACTTCGACACTCACCCTCTGTCACACAGATATCACCTTTACACACGGCTTTATGCATCTTTCACGTTCCTGCTGCGGATCAGGTATGTTGGTATGATCCATCAGCATCTGATGGAGCAGCACTGAACGGGGAGCATCCAAGGGAAACTCTTGCCTTTCTTATGATTTTTTTCATGGATGAAATAAACACGCTGCAAAATCTCCAGGATGCTGCAGACAACCTGAGTTTTGGGCTTTTGCTTTTCTAATTATTTCTAAAGCTGTAGGACCGGTCAAGGCAGGGCTGGTGGGTGCTGGGTGTGAATGTTGCAAGACAGTTCCTGCCCTGCGGATCCTATTGTACTTGTTTATTTTTGTGTAAAACTTCTCAGCCCTTTCCTGCCAGCCTTTGAAAGGGGGAATCTTTACAGTGGCCAGTTTAGGAAATGCGAGGACTGTCTTGCCGTACTGGTTTGACACAAGTGGGGTTACAGAGGAGCTGTGGATCAGGTTCCCAAATTAACTGCCGTAGAAATTGGTGGGAAGGAGCAAGAAAAATAAAGCTGATGATTAGTGTGGCATGTATGAGGACGTGCTGTTCATTCTCCTCCTGAATGCTCTTGCCCTGCCCTTCAACTCTGCCAGCCTGGGCCTTTCATGGCTCATTTCCTTCTGCTTAGCTGTGCAGTTGCTGTTATTTATTTATATGGGCAATGTGCAAAGTCCTTTGGGAATTCCTTTTCTCTTTTAGTCATGTCAGATGGCCACAGTATTACAGCAAACTGCTCTGACAGACTGAGATCAGAGTGGGAAAAATTAAGAGTGGCTACTTGCACCCTGGAAATGCTCTCCTGTGCCAAGGAAAAGGCACTGTGTGCGTGCTCTGGAAATGTTCTCAGCACGCTCTTGGTGCGTGCCTTGCGCTTCAACTTCATGCTGCCTGTGCTTCACTCTTCTGCACTTTTTGGCAGGGAGTATTGATCAGAAAGCAGCTTTGCAGAGAGCAATTAATCTGTGGTTCTGCGTCTCGCTTGGTACACAGCCCTTTCTCTCCCACCCACAACAGATTAAGTTCATGAGCGGAGCTCTCCATCTCACTAGGAGCTGTTGCACCTCCTCTACCCAGCCCATTCCTTGGTTTTTAAACCCCTTTTGTTCTGCTTGTAGATCGTGGGGGATGCGGTGGGCTGGGGGTTTGTGGTCCGAGGAGGAAGACCTTGCCACATCCAGGCAGTGGACCCAGGAGGACCCGCTGCCGCCGCGGGGATGAAGGTACTTCTTACTCACGGTGGCTTAACAGGAGGCAGGACTTAAGTAACTGTATATAACCCCAGTGAAGCAGGGAAGGAGCAGAGCTTTATCCTGAATCACCTGCTCTCACAGCTCCCGAGATGAATGCATTTTGAGTTTCTCTGCTATTAACAATGTACGTGAAAGTTTAATAACCTTAGACTGGTGCCTTGATTTGATTCATCAAATAACGCCCAGTATTTCCAGCTCAGGTGAAATGAACTGAGGTCGTGAATCTCATTTTAGACCCAGGCGCTTATGGGGTTTGTGTGTAGAGTTTTAGGCGTGAATGAAAGAAATGTTGAGTTTCACAGTTCCCTATAAAACCCCCAGCAGTGAGGGAGTAATTTCTACAAGCTGATATAAGTCTAAAGTCACATGGATATTTGAAATAATGGGATTCTTCAGAGGCAGGGTGTGACTCCTTGTTTGCTTCAGGCAGGATTGGAAGGGGATGGATGAATTTGTTTCATTTACTCAAGAGCCCAGTTAATTTCTCCTTACCTAATCTCATTTGCTACCAAATTGCTAGATGTTAATATTGTGCCTCATTTCCATCTGTGACATGAACCACTGCTCATAAATATTTTTTTTTTTTCTCTGTTAGCTCGCAGTCTAAATCCCTTTGGTCCCTTTTTTATGATACAGTGATCATAGCACAGTGATTATTAGTGTGGCTTATGGAGCAGTAATGCTTTAGGGTTTGCAGGGTTTTGTAGCAAGTTATTTGCATTGCAGCCTCTGGCTCTAGTCAATCACAGGCAGAAGTTGCCATGAAGACATCAGCTGAAGGTAACCTGTCCTCCCTCTCCTTACAGGTGTGCCAGTTCGTTTTCTCAGTGAATGGCATGTACGTTTTGCATCTGGACTATCAGACCATCAGCAGCCTCATCATGACGGGACCACGAACTCTGGTGATGGAAGTCATGGAAGCCGTTGAATAAGTGAAGGAGCCTCATCCCACCGCTGTTTGGAAAGGCAGGACGCTCCCCTAAGCAAGGATGGACTGTGGGGAGGGACCAAGCTTGACCATTCACTGTGAAATGTTAGCCAGGCATTTTAATACATTTTCAAATAAATACATTCTAATGGACAAGTCTCGGATTTTGATGTTGTTGAACTATTTGGCTCTACCTATGTTGACAGGGTCTAAGCTCTTGCAGCTCCTTTTTAATGCCAGTGGGAGAGTTCAGCACATCGTGAAACCAAACCTTAGAACAAGCCATTCGCCCAGCTGAGCTGCAAGGCAAGTGGTACAAGCTGGGAAGCAGTAAGAAGTTTGATACCAAGCAAGTGAGTACCTCTGAGCTCCCCTGAGTTGTCTGTGCAGTCTACTGAACACAGTGTGCTTTCCAGATGGCCCGATAAGCTGTGCCATTGACTCTGTCAAGAAAATAAGGAAATGAATACCGTGATGTATGCTTCCTTTTAAAGAAAGTCTAAGGCTCCTGCTACTCTCTTGGCTTAGCCATGCTCACAGCCAGGGCTGGTTGCTCTTCCCAGCCATTTCTTGAAAAGGTGAGATGTCCATGATTTGTGCTTTTTGAGCTCCCACCCCCAAATAATGCTTAAATTCATTAACCAGCTTCACCTCGGCATGGAACTGGGCTGAAGTCCCACACGTCACAGGCTGCTACCAACCTAGTGATGAGGGAAAGGAGAGACCCTAAACAGTGTCTGCCCAAAAAGAAATGTGTCATAGTCTGAGTTTGACTCTGGGAGGGAACAGAAATGAGTGAAAGCCACCAAAATCCAGACCCCCTGGACCCTGCTGCTCCCAGGATGACTGCATTTGCAGGCAATGCAGAATACTCATCTGCAGACTACCCTGAAAGTGAACTAAATACAGAATAACAGGTAATAACAAGAAACTGGGGAGGTTTCTTGCTTTCCAGTTCACTGAGCATCCTGCTTGTGATCAGCTTGTAATGCTGTGCATACAGTAGGATGATTTCCAGCACTCCTGCTTAGGGCAGGTCCCTCAGTGCAGCTCTCTTGGCCACCAATCAAGCCTTAAAAAAAAAAAAAAAAAAAACCCAACCCAAAAAAAAAAAAATTTTAATTTGTGTTAAAGTGGGAGCTGACTTTCTTGGAAAATCTGGTGTCAGCTGTATATTAGGTATTGCATTACTGCTGTCTGCCTTTTTTTTTCCCCTTGATATAAAGGGATATGTGCTCCCCCAGCGCTGGTGCAGAGGTAATAGGACTGCTTGGAGCACAGCATTCCTGGAACGTTGTCCAAGCAAGATGTTTGCATTGATAATCCACTGGGGTCCTTCCAGCCTCTAAGTGAAACCAGACAATCTTTTAAGCCATTTGTCAATATATTCACAGTTGTTATTTCTAGCCATTCGGTGCACAAGCAAAGCAGCATCCATCTGCCTTTTTGCTTTTTAAATTCTGGTTTGTGTTGCTGTTCAGGGAAAGCTTGGATGTCTGTGGTGGCCCCAAGGTTTAATCCAGAGTGTTGGGCTTGAACTAAAGTCAAAGCCAGGAGAGCACAGCATTTTGTGGGCACCTTGGGAAAGGTAGGCCAGAAAACAACAACCTGAACGTAAGCACTGGAAGCAGCTCCAGATTTTTCTGACGTGAACAGAGCGCACGTTTTAGCTCTGGAACTGAATTCCCTGAAAGCGAAGTGCAGGAGATCTGTGCTCTTTCCTTTCTCACCTCCTCCTAGTTTTAAAGTAAGCTGTAGCAAATCTGAGCAACTACTGAAATCCAGTAGGAATTACAGAAGAGGTAATTTGTGATATGTACATGTAGGGCAGTGACAACTCTCTCTCCACAGGCTACCAAATGCTCCATGTTTTGTCTTAACAAGATTTAAGTGATTCCTTTTGGTGTTATCCTTTGGCCTGTATATAGTGATGCTTTTAAATACCTACTAGATTATAAAGAGAAATGGCAATGAACTACCAAATGTTTCTTTAGTGTGCACAAGTATTTAAAAACTATAATTTATTTTTTTTTCTATCTGAGTTGACACTTTCAAAGGTGCCTGTGTTTCCTATAGACCAGCAATTGTGAGTTTCTTGCAGCTAGCTCTGTTGCAATGGGAGACTGGTACTGACAGTCCCCAGAGATGCAGCTGAAAATCTGGCCTCCATTTGTAATGCGAAATGCCACTGTCAGTTGTTCCATTCCTGGCAAGGAGGACAAAATCTTTCCGAAAAAGTTTTGGCGCGGAGCTGGGCGGCTCTCCCAAGCACTCTTGGGGTTGGGGACCACATGCCGGCGGAGGTCAGGGCTGTATCCCACAGCTGGGAAGTCTGCAGCACCGTCGAGCTCCAGTTCATGATTCAGCCTCTGGCCTTGCAAAACTTACAGATGTGCTTAATTTCCTTAAACAAATGCAATGCAATTTGCCTTCAGTGCAAATGCGGGGCGCTCAAAAATATTTCATGGGATGTGAATGGGGCCGGACTGACTTCATCCCTGGGAGTCTGACAGTGGGCGGGAGCCACGACTTGTTGCTGCGCTCTAGGAAATCAGTGTGCGGCTTCCTAGACATATATTTGGTATTTAGTTAGCAAAACCACTAAAAGCCGTTTACTGTTTCTCGTAGAAGCAGTCTCTCCCTTTTCATGCACGCTTTATCTGGCTGCGCGCAGGGGCTAAGCGACGCTCTCCGCTGCGTGGTGAGAGGGAGGTGGGGGAATCACTGTCCCTCTCCCCTGCTCTCCCTCCCCTTCCTTATCCCTCCTGACGTCTGGGAATCGAAATCTCTAATCACGCCGAGGAGCAGACGAGGCGCCAGGGCTGCTTCTCCCACAATTTAAGAATGTAGCTGGATTCGTCGCACCTCCCGACCGATTCCAGGGAAAGCCGTGCCGCTCCACAGAGGTCTGTGGCTCGTTTCCCTTTGGGACTGGGATCGCAGGGATGCCGAGGAGGGGCTGGGTTGTTTTGGGGCATGCGTGGGTATTGGCGGTGCAGGGAACTTCTGCAGGGTTTTGCTTTCTGGGAAACTTTGGAGCTGGTGCAGCTCAGCTCAGGGCAGCGCTGCCGATGCTGCGCAGGGGTGGCAGGTCTCCTCCTCTTATGGTGAAGTAGCTTCAAGGCTCACATTTGCTGCAGGTCAGCTCTAAATATTGCCAGGACTGCTTTAGGGATTCTTTCGGAGCGATGGCTGTGAGAAATGCACTTTCTTTGTTGGTTTGGATTTTTTTTTCCTTCTATTTTGTGGTTAATAGTATAAAACCTGTGGGAAATTGCTGCCAGAGAGGACAGTACTTGGCAGGGTTTGTTAGCCATGGCAGTTTCTGGGTGGGTTTTTCCCACTTGGAGGTATGGTGTGGGTCTGCATCAAACTGATGTTCCTAAAGCCTGCCTGGGCTGAGGGGAGCTGCAAAGGTTCAGCCTAGAAGTGAAACTTGTGCCTCACTTTTTTGAGACTGGTGCTGGGATAATTGAGACTTTTTGTTCAATAGTGGAACTGAAATACAGGAGATTTCCAGGAGAGAACAGGAAGGGTTTGACGAATGTGATTTTTCTAGTCTGTTTTAGGTCGTTTAGCTGTCAAATCACTCGGGGAGTGTGGGACAGATTTATTCCCTGCAGCTGGCTTCCTCGGGCAGGTCGCTGGTCTCTTCTGCAGGGCTGTCCCTGGCGCTGCTTGCGTGTCTGGCAGCGAGCAGGCCATGAGGTGACATTGGTCCTGCCAGCACTTCTGTGCAGAGACGGTGATGGCCTCTGGGATGAGGAAATGTCCCCAGACTGTGGCTGTAGTGGGTGGAAATAATTCACGGTGCCCTCAGATCCCCACTTTAGCTGTGCTGATTTAAACACAAGGCAGGGATTTTTTGCATAGACTTTTTTTTCCTTTCATTAAAGTGACTACTCTTAAAATTCCCTGTACAAATAAGGGGATCTCCAACTGCCTTAACCTCCAAATCCCCTCTGAGCACACAGCTGGGGCAAGTGGGAAGTGGGGTCGTGCACACCCCCCCCCCCCATTTTCCAGGTCCTGGAAATACTCACCACATGCTCCATGTGTTGCTGTCTCCAAATTCCTTCCCTGGGCAAGTAATGGGAGAGAGGCATCGGCGTGCCGGAGGCTCCCTGCCCGCCAGCAGGTTGATGTCACTGTGGTCCCCTCCGTCCCGGGGTCCAGAGCTCAGGATGGCTGGATGGTGGCACCAGCGAGGGCAGAAATGGTTGGGAAGGGACCATGGAGACCCAAAGTGGGGGCTTGGGGTCCAGCAGGTAACCTGCAGAGAGGGAATTCTGCAGGGTGGGAAGAGATAGCTTCTCCAGCCATGTATTTTCCACCATTTCAGACAGGTGCATTGGTTATTCCTGCTTTACAGGTAGGAAAATGAGAGTTGGAGAAGAGGCAAAATAGCGATGGGTTTGCCTCTGAGCTAGGAAGAAGAGATGAAGTCCCCGCTCCTTGCTTCAGTCGCAGTAAAGATCTACACACTGGGACTTACTAGATCCAACCCGGGTTAATATTAAACCCATCCTTACTGACACAGCAGGGTGGAAGATCCTGGCTGAATCAGACCCTGCAGTTCGGTGCAGGCTGGAGAAGTCCATGTGTTTATTTCACCCGATTTCGGATCCCGTACAACAAAAAAAAATTATCCTGGTTAACATGAAAAGATCATACAGAATCCACAAACACTTTTGCCGGAGTTTGGCATCCCGTTTGCCAGCAGAGCCACAGGGAAGTTGCAAAGAAATCAAGAGCAGTTTGGTGGCATTGCAAAATGGCACAAATGGACTTTTGATTCAGGGAATTTTTGAAAATGCAGGCTTCTTGCTGTTGTTTGCCACATGTACCTCTGCAGCCAGGGCCGGCTTTGCTTTTCTTGAGGTGACAGCCAGATTCCTGACACCCACCTGTAAAATGTTTGCTGTTTTTTATAAGCAATGACTTCATTTTATTAGCTGGAAAGAAAAAAGCAAGTGTTCCCCATGGCTAAGGGCTTCAGTTACACTGCAGTTGTTCCATACAACCTGATCTTCAATCAAAAAAAAAAAAAAAAGAAATCACAGACTGAGTAGGGTGGTTAACATCTCCCTGTTATAACTTGTATATTTTTCCATTCATTCTTACAGCAATTTAGAACTGATTTAAACCCCGGGAGATCATGGCTGGGTCACTCAAGTGCATATTTATTTTTCCTTGAAATCACTAAAAAGCTGATGTATTTGAAGGGAAATAGGCATTTGCCAGGAGCCTCTAAATACCTGTCCATCAAAATGAATAGAAGCGAAATGTCACTGCAGACAGCAGCAGAAGAAACTTGTGTATGGTCTGGTTCTGCCAAAAGCAATAAGGTTGATATGTGTAGCACAAAAATGACAGATGCCAATGATGCGTTGCAAAAGGCCAAGAGCATATGTTTTAAACCTGGTATATTGAGACTGAGAGGAGGGGGAGGCACTGTTTGCATCAGGGTGGTTTTATGCTAACGTAAAATTTCTGACCTGTCCTGGTTTTGGCTGGGGTAGAATTAATTTTCTTCCTAGTAGCTGGTGTAGTGTTGTGTTTTGGATTTTGTGGTGTTTAGTTGCCGTCTGGGGTTAAACCGTGACAGGATATGAACTGAATAAAACTGAAATCC